CATTATTTCTACAGTGTGATGGAATATCAGTTCTTAAGCATATTTATCAGCGAAAAGGTGCGGAAGAAAGCAATAACGGAAAATGGAACACAGAATGATCTTTCCTGAATCACATCAAGTCGATTATTTTTCATAATTTCTCCGTATGGAAAATTAATCTCACTAATCACCGTAAGATTGTTTTCAAATTAAAATATAAAGTCCCTTCTGTTCATAACACTACTGGATCGGAGATGATGTATTTGTGGATTTTCGGATCAATTTAAGCTTCATAATCCACCCAGCATTCATTCTCTCCGCTATTTGGAAGTGAATTTGTATAATGAATTTACTGTAAGATGTAAAAAAGATAGGAAGACAGCCAGTCATTGAATGAGCATGCTCAGGAACATGAAATGAAATTTAAAATTTTTAATTTATTGCTTCTGAAAATGGCAAGCAATCCATTAGGATATGAATTTGAAATGTTAGAAGTATTCTTTAATTTTGCTCGTCTATTTATTAAAGTTAAATAGAACTTGGCATTAGCTAGCAGCAATATATTGAAAAGGAATGATATTTGGTGTAAGTTCACTGACCGATAAACGAATTTGTATTGATGTAAAGAAAGACATGTCGTCTTTGCTAAACAACAAGTAAAATTCGAGGGACAGAAAGGATTAGAATGAAAAGATGAGAAATAAAATGTATGTGGAGGTTATAACAGCTGATAATTCAACCTTGAAAGATTGCCAATAGCTGCTCTGAACAGCTATAGAAAACATTACCATCATTGTACTCTTCACTGACATCATTTTATTGATATCATTACGAGTCATCTCCATTCTTATCACTGTTCTCAATAACACCAATAACGCAGAATGATAACAAAAAGAGAAAAAAAGAAGGCATAATGATGACATTTTAAAATGGATGGTTAATCAATGAATAAACGATAATTTAATAAAATTACATGAATACAAAGTTGAACTACGTTTAGCTATATTTATAAGAAGAGATTGACTTTTTTTTAACCAGTTATCATATATTAAAAATGTCATTAAACGATTGCGAATATCCGTGCACTGTGCTTTTCTCTTAATAAACAATGATATATTATTGGTAGTTTGAAGGAAGGATAATTCGCACGCAACGAGATGATATATTTAAAGTATTAGAAAAAGGTATTACACGTAATTCTCGAATAACGAAACAATTTTTAGTTGAATATTTATTTATGTGAGTGTATGAAATGATTCGACAATGATCATCAAATGAATTTGTACGAAGAATTCAAAATTCCTGATTTGCGTCCTCCTATCATATCCTACTCAGCTAAAAAATTTTCTTCCTCTTTTGCTATTTCTCTCTCCCTCTTTCTCTCTCTCTTTTTTAGAAATTTCTCTATTAAAGATTTTTTTGTTTATTCTTTCGTTTTTGAATATTTCTGCAAAAATGAAAGAAATACAATTTCAAATTTTACCATTATCCGCTCTTACAAGATTTTTTCATAAGTTTTATGAATTTTTTTCTAAAAATTTCTGAAATAATCTAAAAGTGTCTGAAAGTGTAAAAAAGCTGCAAATTTATTCATAATACTGCTTAGATTTTAAACCTAAAAAATATATCGATTTTGGAAAGCATTAATAATCTCAGAAATTGAAAGTATTTTTGGTTTTTCTGTCTCTGAATATGTTTGAAGAGCATTCATTTTGCTGTTTTTCCTTCTATTATTTCTTTGCCAGATGAATTTAATTTGAGAAGTATGGATGACACACAGAAAAAATGTAATTCAACTTGATGACTAACCTTTTAATGAGCTTTTCCGAATAAATAATTTGCGCACGGGAAGCAATAATCTTATACACTTACAATTCTGTTTGAAGTTGAAAGATTCAAATGTTTGTACTTCAGTGTATGAAAATATAGAAGTTGGTTAAAGATAAAAAAATTAACTGATTGATTACTGTCTATCAGAAGAAAGATGAAAGCAAAAAAAAATACTAAAGTCTTTGCTTTTAGTATCTGGCAATTACAAAATATTGCATATGCCTCAATTTCTTCTTTCCTCGGCTTCGGGATTTTTAGTAAAAAGAATGACTTTAGCGGAAATAAGGACAGAAGTTTTGAGAGAACGCTGAAGTCATAATTTTCCTTCTTATTCCAGTAAACAGTTAATATATTTTTTTAAAAATGTCGGAAAATTTTGAAATATTTTTTCAACATTTCTGTTTATGAACATCTGTCACACGTAAGAAAATTGCTTCAGGAATGAACCGTTTTAATCATCAAACTGAAATTTCTCAGCCCAAATTCTAATATATTCATTAATTGCATGTTGTTTTCGTTGCATAGCTAATTATAGCAATAATTAATTACATGACGACTCTCGGAAGGTATCTTAAACAAAAAATGGTCATTAATTCAATTAATGAAATGCATGGCAGCAATTGCATTTTCAAATATGTGCAAAACTTAAAAAATATTTCCGCTCAATAGTTCATTTCATATCGTTGAAAAGATTAAAGCACCAACACTTCTTCCTTTCCTTTCCTCTTTCTTCACCTCTCCGAAGGCTATGCTTATTCATATTCATTTTAATTTTTAGCACATTTCATTAGAAAGATAAAAGAAACAGTTTATGCTTAAGTGCACTACTGCTTATCCATTATCTAATTAGGCTAATTGTATATTAAACTAATTGCATTGCTTCACGAAATAACAATGGTTGAAAAGGCTGCTTTTTATCCGGAGGAGAAGTCAATAGCCTCTGGAAGTTATCAATATTTTAATTTTCATTAGTTATAACAAAATTTAATTTCCAATTTCTATTACACACCTTGATCATTTTCCAAGAACACCGGAATTCCCAACTTTAACTTCAGAAATCGATAGTACCAGTTTTTTGAATAATTGTAAATTTTGATCTTTCATTTGATCTCTAAATTGATTCAGGTTATAGGCGAGAAGAATATAAGCAAGTTTATGATAAAGCTATTGAAGTATTCTATTTTCATGGCATTTCCAGAATTTCATGAAAATGTCGCTGTTGTCAGGATTCCATCCACTGTCACTCAATCTTTTCTTCTTATCTTTTCTCATCTTTCCCACCTCTCTTCCCGTACATTTCACTTTTTCCCTCTTTCTCTTTCTTCATCAATTCATACGTATTACAAATTAACACACTCATTTATTCTTTTCTTCACTCATTCATGCATTCATTGAATCAATTTTTTGCTTTATTATTCATTCATACTATTCTCCATTCCTTTGCATTTCCGGTTTTTTTGTCCTTCTTCCATCTGCACAAGGCGATAATTTCTCCTGACCGGATGCATGCATCAGTTAACGTTAGTTTTAACCAAAGCCTCTTTAAAGATAAAGGGGGTGATATTTTCAAAGTGCTTTCTTCCCTCTCCTCCTCCCTCTACCTATCTCTTCCCCTCTCTGTCTCTTTTCCCCCTTCCTCTCTAAGATTATACTCGTGTGAAAAAAAATTCCATCTTTTCCACTGAGAACTTTTGATTGTGTAAAGAGAGAGGTACGTACACGATTTTGCATTAGTGGTACCGAATAAATCATTTACTTTCTAAGCGTATGTCAGTAGTAAAATAACACTGACGTGTACGTGGAGACAGTGAACTCAATCGCATGGCATCCTCCACTTTATCAACAGTTCAAGCGGTGATAGCACCAAAGAAATGCAAAACGGAAGGATGATCACTTTCTTGGGAAAAGAAAGGGTTAGAATAGAAGGAGAGGAAATAGGGAGAAATTTATCATTTTAAAATCTTTAGTTTTCTATTCCGTTCTGCGCATTCATTTCAAAAATTTTAGGATCCAAAAAAAGGAATCCAAAAAAAATTTTAGAAGTGTTTAAAGCAAGTAATACGTTAATTAACTCACAACCCTTCCAAATTTAAGGGATCGAACTAACTTCTTTTAGAACAGAAAAATTCGCAAATTTCGATTTAGTCGCTTCAAAGTTTTGTATATACATATATATACTTCGTGAGATAAATATATTAAAATTGTTCATTAGTTCTCTGTTTCTGTCCACAATTTTTTTGTCGGAAAACTTTCTATAAAATAAGAAATGAGAGAGATGAACTTCTGATCAAAACAATTTTCAAATTGCATAACTTCACATGCCGATGATGTCTGCAAAGTGTTATCAATTAGATGAATAGAAATTTCCAATGTATTGAAATTAATTATATCTTTTCCTTCTCGGCAAGAATTCAATAGCAATTAATCGAAACAGAGTCAAGTTTAATCAGCTATTTTGTACAAGCTTTTCTGAAAAAAAGTTTGTCCAATGTTCAAAATATGCATTACATTTTCCGTAAAAGTAGTCCTTTTCAATTTAAAACTTCAAAATTTATTCATCGAAATTTAGATAAATGGGAGTAATATTACTGGCAATAATTTTTGGAACATATTACTACTGCGCAAAGAATACAGAATTTTAAAGTTTGTAATCGATTTTAGATTTTTTGAAAGATGGAAGGAGAGTAAAAATCTGTCTGATTAGTTGCATCAATTTTTTAAAGTCATCCATTAACTCCATAACAGTAGTTTTCATAACTATAGTTCAGAACATCACAAAAGGCTCCTTACTTCATATTGATTAAGAATACAAATATAATTAGTTGTATAATTAATTTGATTATATGATGAACTTCAACATATTAATGACTGTTGTCAAGTCTCATATCTCATAACAATGAGATTATCATATCAATTGGATGATGACAATTCTTAAAATTATTCTGTCATATCGAGAGAGAAGAAGATGTCTACAAGAAATATGGGCCATTTATCCGAAATCAAGAATTACGAAGAAAGGTATGAAAGGGCGAGAAAGAAATTCTGAAATCCACTCAACAATATCCGTTTGTAGATGCTGTGGCGTTGTTTGCAATTGTTATAATCAGCTGTGGGACGCAGTAGAACAAGTTGTCACCAATATGTCACATCACATTTTTTATTCTTCCATCCTCTTTAGCTATTATTTGATAATGCCTGGATTGAGTTTGCTGTTGCAGACGGAAATAGCTAAATTGTGTCCAAAGGAGAAAGCTTTTTGCATAACAAAAGCTTTTCAGGTATTACTGCACTATCATGCCTTGAAAATTGATTAAAATTAACGTCACATTTAGCTATTTTTCTATTGCAAGATTTTCTTTTCTCAATTATATTCTAGAAAAAGAATTAGAAAGACAAATATTTCCACTTCTTAGTTCAGTGAGTTTATTGATTGGAATTCTGGTTTACAGTTTACCTCTCAAATAATCTAGCATGCGGAAAGAAGTATTAACTTGAAACCATACTCACGACTTTTGTTGCATTAAGTGAAATGCTACCAGTAATGAATCTTGGTTGCAAATTATTTTTATCGCCATATTATAGGGTCAATGCTATGGTAGCAGTGTCAAAGCAGAAACTTTGAAACGAACATGTCCATGCGCTTGTGACGTTGTTCATTACGATCGAATTCAGTCATGTTGCAAAACAGTCGGTCGACGAGAAATGGAATTTTGCTTGCCACTTTGTAGATATAATACTACTTTAGATGAGGTCCGTCTTATTTCCCAGTAAAGTTCCTCTCGTATATTTATAAGGATAATTAAAAATATTCTTGAATTAAAAAACTCTTTCTCAATATGTCCACTGCTGATCATATTGGCAATAGATAATGTAATTAGTCTTTGTCTTTATATCACACAAATTTTTTCATTTTTTCCTTTTAATATAGTGAGGAAGCAGAGATCGTAAGGTTACGTAATAATATTTTGAAGGCATGAAAAATTCATTGATGATTTTTATATTTGATCGATACAGAGATTATTTCTCCTGATTAAGTAGAATGTGAAGATGATAATTTAATGCAAAAATAATAAATATAATAGAAGAAAATAAATTGCTATAATTGAAAAAGCAACAATTAATATTCAAAGAAATTTTTAGCTCAATTCGGGTTTGGGCTATAAATGTGTCTCCCAGCTAACTACATGGGCCTATTGCGCCGCTGATGTCGGCGATAACACTGTTTGCTGCAAGAAAAAAGGTTTTCCCTTCCTTTCTTGCTACTCATTTTATGAAACCTAAAATATATAAGTCAAGTTATCTGTCATAAAATATGTCATTCAATCATCATTGATTTATCTCTTCAACAACTATCGGATCATTTCTACGAATTCTTTTTCCTTAATTTTATCTTTTTTGCTAAAAAGCTCTCAATCAATATTTTGTGTATGAAATTTTCAATGGATTAATGCTAAATTAATTTTAAAGTTTTAAAGTTAAGGACTTCGGAATGAGACAATTAAGTAGTCAGCGAGATTTTGAGTGAAGATAAACTGTTAAAGAGGATTTCAAATTAAATAACACAGTTTATATTAAGAGATTAAAAGGGACTAGATATAAAATCTTCTTATAATCTATTTCAAATGTCAGATTTCTGGCCGTGATATATTATTTCTAAAAAATTGTCACCATTCGGGAATTTCCAGTGTATGATTGAGTAATTAAGTACAATTATTAAAGGTATCGCCACAGAATGTTTGAGTTTTTGCAAAGGTGATGTGCCAACATGCGATTTACAAAGTCTTTTCACATATCAACCCTGCCTGAGATATATCGAAACGATCACTCATTGTCATGTTAGCTCTTTAAAAAATTTTGAAACTCTTGGCTGTAACCTTTAATGGCGGTATTGTCCTTTGCAATGATATTTCACAATAATCCTTTCGATTTTGCTGCATTGCTGATTCTTCTATCACGACTGTCGTATTTCATTTTGCATTTCAGATGAAAAATTTGCTCTCAGTACCACGATGGAATCCAAATTGGGCAGCTCGTTGTGATTGGGATGAAAGTGATTGAAGGAATCCTTCGAGAAGAAAAAAATTAGAATATTTAATGGCGTTATTGCCGAATATTGTTATTTTAATTATTTCAAAATTAATTTCTGTCGTGGAGAAATTAGCCTTTCAAAGGAGAAAGTATAGACAGAGTCGATTGGCTAGAGGAAAAGTATAGCCTTTATTAATGTTTATGAAAAAATTTTGGCAAATAAAAAGTACTTGCAATATTGTCTAATAATTTTCAATTAATTAATTCCATAATATAATTCAGTTATTTCAACGACGATTGAATTCAATCCTCAAAGATAGCAACTGATAAAGTATTATATTAAAATCAGTGCAAAGCAATTCCCATCGCAATCACAAGTTAGAAAAAATCACTGAAATAAGCAACATCCCTTGAATATGTCAAATTTATTCGCAAAGGTAAATGTTTCTAATAACTTTTATCTAATTGATTTCATCATGCAGTTTGGATACTTCAACGAAGATTAGATTCATTGCACAGAAACAAAATTGAAGCATTTAGAGAATTTAAAATGAATCATCCACTGAAAGGCATGAAATATGATGAAGATCAATGATCAAAGGACAACCATTTGGCAAGCAAAGGACAAAGCATATTTTGAGCGATAAACTTCATTCAACTGCAGAAAATAAGTCATTTCTCTCTCTAAATTTTTCTTTTTTTTGATAATTCTCTCTATTCGAAAAAACAATTCAGTGAAATTATTCTTTTGCATTGATGTAGTCTCGGTCCTCTTTCTTGTTTTAGAAATTTGCCAATTGCTATTTCAAGATATTTCAATGTTTAAAAGTTATGAATTTGAGGAGGAAGTCAAAATTCGAGGATTTAAACATTTATCGCTACTTGAAATTCGAAAAGTTACAACACTCATCTTGATTTCTAATGCAGTATTAATGGCTTTTTTTTACTTGTTGGCAAAAATCTTATGAAATTCAACACAAAAAGAAATAGAAAACTGAACCTATCCTAAATGTAGGTTTTTTTTTTGCTATTAATATGTTATCTAACTGAAATTTTTTCTCTCAAAATATGAATGTAATTAGCCCCTAATTTTATCTTGGACTGAATAGTACAAATTTCCAAAAATTCAAAATTAAAAAATTATTGGGTACAACTGGAAGATTTATGATATCGTGGAAGTTCGAAATGATTATTTTATTGTAAGAATTGAGAATTGTAAGATTTATGTGAAATTCAAAGAAGTAACAAAAAGAGATCCTGAGAAATATTATTTCACATCTCGATTTTCAAGTCATAGAAAAGTAAATATTTTGCGAATTGTTACAGAAAACAAATAACATTTACATTCTTGTTTAAAAACATGCAAAATACGTCGACTGCAAATCTGTTTGGCAAAAGAATTTAAATTTACAAAATCGTCACTCAATAAAAACTGTTTTTGCAGCTCTAGCACAAAGCCAGTCCATTGATTACTATATAATTTAAGCAGAATTCAACTATTGGAATTAGAACATGAAAATTGAAGTTTTTCCGTCTCATGAAGGGATTTTAAGAATCCAAAAATTTCTCATGCTTGATTTTGGAAAACTCCGATAAGCATGAATAATTTTTGTTATGACAAACACCCGTGCTTTGAATAAATCAAACCGAAATGTCGATTTACTAAAAAAATTTTCCCATAATCATAACTATTTATTTCTCTTTTGAAGTTAGGGCAATTTTGTCCGAGATATGATATCACAATCTACGATTTCTTAGTTTTGTATTCATTTATTTTTAAAATACAGAATAATTTGTAGAATTCCTAATTAATTGAAGTTAATTCAGAAAGAAAACATCGCTTCACACTTCAAATTTGTATAAACTCGGAAAAGATTGTTCACAGTGACATGCAAACCAGGTTGAAGACCTTTTACCTCTGTAGCGAACTGCAGTTCGAAATCAAAACTTTCAGCGTCTAAATTCATAGATTTTAATTCTTATTGGTTGTATTTTCATAATCTAAGCTCTGAAATCTGTAGTTACATATTTTTTGCTTTTACCAATGGTGAGCAGTAGGATAGTTTTTCGCTTACTATACAACTGAAAGTTATTATCCATAACATTTCGTTGTTTTGTTTTGCAGTTCTATAAGGGTTGACAAGACCTTTCCTGTATGTAGAAATGAATGATGTAACACAAAAATGCTGTAAAAATAAATTTAAGCACTGGAACGTGAAAAAAGAACAAACTGAATGCATAATACGAGACCAATATTCAATATGAGGCATATGGACTTGGGATATGATAAAAACAGAAAAAATAAAGAAGGAAGCAACTCCATATTTAATTTATATGAATTACATTTATAGACAGTAACATGTACAACTTAATCTTCCACTACGGGACAAAATCAAATCAAATAAAAGCTACCAAGTACTGCGAATAACTTCAAAAAAGTCAAAAGGTTGAAAAACGAACTGAAGGAACATTTCACAGTTTCAGACTCTGAAGAAACTTATTTTAAAAGAAAACAATGAGGAGAAAATACGGAAAATAAAGGGAGCAGAAAAACAAAATCGTACTGATAAAAAACAAATTTGAATTCTACCAATAGTTACCAGACTCTAGATTAGGAACGAGAACCAATTTCAGCATTTTCAGGGTTCCCATTATCTTTTGTCCTTTTTGTTTCCTTTTGCACTTCATCTTCTGCTGGTCTCTTTAATTTTTTACGTACCAAACTGCTAACATCGTCAACAGGCATTCCTTTTATTGATGACTTAAGTGACACTTCCTTTTTATCATCTTCCGTAGCAACATTTTCCTGAAATATACATTATACTTGGCAAAAACATTAACATTTGCAACGTTAAAAGAATATATTTGAAAAAGAAAGTAAAAAAATGGAAGTAATAAAAGAGAAAGCAAAGAAAACAAAAATCAAAAGCTGCTAAAAAAGTGAACAGAACTAAGAGAATTGGTTAAATGATTAAATAAAATAGATCAAACAAGCAAAGCATAATTTGTTTTTTTAAACAGATTTTTGAATAATAAACAGGAAAAATATAACGTAACTGGAATCAATAATAGTTTTAGTCCAACGCGATTTCATAACACTACGAATTTTTAAAATTAAATCATTTGACTTTCGCTATGTATACAATTAAAAACTAGAATGATTATGAATAGGACTCACTTTTGTTAAACTTTTCGCACTTTCCAAAGAATCGTCAATTTTCATTTGAATTTCAGGCAGCAGAGATTTCAGTTCATCAATTTCTTTCTTAATTTTCTCTATTTCTTCCTGACTTTCATGTGCTAATTGTGCTTCTAGTTTTGCTGGAATATATGTAAAACATTTATTTCCATGCTCTAAATAAAGTTTACATCAGCTACAAAATCTCCCTCAAAAAAACCTTGTATAAATTTATATCTTTTGTCTTCGTAGTTTGACAATTTACATAGGTGAGAAAATGAAAGGTGAATAAAAAATACTCCGAGCCAAATTCAGTTCACCTAATCTCGCCTCCAGAATTTCTTTTGATTTTCCGAAAACTTTAGCAGCATTCCCAAAATCTTTCGAAAGATTGTGAGTTCGCCCTTTTACAAAGTAAGCTTGTGCAACACGCCGGTCGAATCCACCAAAAATGCTTTCCGTAAGTAAGATACAAGCATCAATATCATCAATCGCTTGTTTGTAATTCTCGGCATCAGTTGCGCAGTCAGCGAGATCCAAAAGAACTTCCACTTTCTTCTCTTTCCAACCTTCTTCTTCTAGATGCCTAAAATTTAGATTCCCAATTTTGAATATTAATCCAAATTTAGAAAAACGAAATGTCCTTCATATATTACAGATAATTCTAATTAATTATTTTTTCAAGATGCCTATAAACCACATGAAAATCGAAATTCGCTTTCATGTTCATATTTCATATAAGACAACTAACTGGTTTACGGTCATTAACATATGCTGGTGCTGCCCAAATCAAATTAAAATAAAACCTCAAAGCGGACATAATATTAGAGATGAGTTTATAATAGTGTAGCTATATTTAGAACCATATTTAGAATAATAGTGTAACTATATTTAGATTTAGTGTAACCTAAAATAACTTTAAGCTTTACTAAATAAAATACTCACTTATCACAAATGGTTCGTGCTACTTCTAAATTCTCCCATGCCAGCTGCAGATACTCAACATCTCCAGCGTCATTGGATTCGTCCTTACTGTCATTTTCCTCCGAAATTTCATCCTTACTACCTTCAACTAATTTATCATCTTCTTCGTCTTCAATTTCCTTTTCTTCCTTCTCCTTATCCTCCACATAGTCATTTTTCATCTTTCTTTCAGTTTTGTCTCTTTCTTTCTTGTGATCCACAGTTTCATCTTCATTTTCCTTCTTATCTATAATGCATTTGCAATAGTAACGGATTAGTTACACGAATCTTTTTTTCAAAAAACATATATTGGAAAACAACCGTTACCGCTTTTGACTGCATGATCTCTCCTTGTTTGCTTCTTTTCCACACAATTTCTGTCGCTTTCCATAGTCACATCTGTTTCATACTTGTCCGCAATATCAGCCTTTTCCTTCTCTTCCTTAAAATCTAGTACTTTCATAAAAAATTATTTTAAATCAAAAAGTGAAACTACGGTTCACCAGATAATTTTTTTTTGCTAAACACAAAGATTAACCTCGAAAAATTTTTGAATGATTTGCACAAACTTATCGATCAGTCAAAAAGTCATAATTTCTCTGTATGTTTTACAAGTATAAATTTTAATTATTTAAAGAAATTTTACATGTAGCAAACTACGAAATTTTCAAAACAGTTTAACAAAAAAAATTTAACTTTTATTAGAATTCCTTTTTTTGTAGTACAAGTGTGTCGACAAAAATGATTCCAGTGTGCGATTGTACACTTATAAAAACTTACTTCCTTATTTTCCTCCAGCATATTGAAAGAATCAACCCGACAACAGGCAATTTTTTTCTCCAAGGTTTCAGCATTCTCTTCCAATACATTGCCAACCTTTTCTACAATTTCAGCTCTTTCTTCTTCTAAAGAGAGAATAAACTCTTTTTTACAAACATATATAACTGACAACGAATCAAAAATAGAAAATTTAGTTCCAAAAACCAGAAATGAAAAATGACCAGTAAGTGATTCCACTTCTTCGATACCTTCATCCTTTTCATTATTCTTGCATCCTTCTTCGTCGATAGCTGATATACCTTGCAGAGCATTTGAAAAAACGCTATCCTCCAGTCTGGCCAATTCAAGCAAAGTCTTGCCGTAATACAGATGAGGATCAAATGTTGGAATAGCGAAATATCCATAAATGCTGACACTGAAACTCCAAAGATGCTGTCTCTTATTTTATGATACATATCCAACAATTTATCATTTGATGATTGGCTACTGGAACCTGATAAAAATTAAATCGAATCCCGATAGCTAACCAGTAAAGTAACCAGTAAATTAATTTAATGCAATCGTTTTTGCTTCAGTTCAGACACAAATATATTTCAGTCTTTTATGTAAACTATGAGCAAACTTACGAGAGTTCAGCAGCCTCGCTCAGTTTTGTTTCAGCTTCTTTGAACCTCCCTGATATGTATGCTTGCTTTCCTTCAGTCAAAAGCGTTTGGAATTTCACAATATCTCTGAAGTTGAATGGCTGCATTAAATTTTAGTTTGAAGAAATTTAATACAACAATCATTACAGCAAAAATGCACAAGAAAGTATTTCAACAGAAAATACAAAAAGTAAGAAGAGAAAAGAAAATACTTTAAAGTCAAATTTGCTAGATTTTACTTAAATTCAAAAAAGAATTAGGAGCAGAATTTAAGTAATGGAAAGGCAAAGGCAAGCTTCGATGAAATGATTAACTGACCCTTCCTCCTTTTTCTTATTAATAAATTCATCGTTCCTCGAGATGGGTGCCATCATTCGCGTCCTGCTGGAAATGTTCACGTTACGAATGGCGTAATTATACGACAGTCTACACTGAGTTGACACGTACGTACCTTTCCTCTTCCTTTCCGTATAGTTATATTCGCGCCCCCAAATCTATTTCACAGCCTCACGGCCCCTGTTATTTGTTGATTCTTGTCGCGGAAAGTTTAAGAAGCGGAAATTTCTTTTAATCGTAAGAAAGTGAGGACAGGGTGGCCGGAGTTAATTTGTTGTCTGCTTTCTTGGTCAGGTATGATTTTTATTACTTTTAAGATTTTAATGCTTATCCGAGAGCACTTTCCCGTTGATGAATGTAATGGCACTATTGGGTTAAATGAGTTATTGGAAATTCTAATTTGAATTTCCAATAACTTCTCCAGCGCAATTTTTTACTTGGATTTTGTGCATGAAAATTTTCTTTAAAAAATTTTCTCGAAATGTCAATAAAAACGTCTACTTTTACTAATCATTTTACTTATCAAAAATTGATTTTATTTATCTTCCTACTAATCATTTTATTTACCAAAAATTGATTAGATTCAGATTTCAGATACTTCTTTTCATGATGTTCGAACTTTTCAGCCGTTAAATTGGCAGTTATAAGTTTTGTTTTGAGTGCAATATTGCCAAGTAGTGCGAATAAGCAAATGTAATTCATATATTTGCTTCACTAAAAATAGATTCAACTTCACTAGAAGTTGGATCTTTTTTTCTGATGTTTTTTGCTTTATCTGTTTTCGGCTTCCAAGCAAATGTTGATCAGTTATTTTTGTTCCGATCTTTTTTGGTTATGCAGTTGCTCGATTTTATAAATTATTTCGATAACATGTAGTATCTTATCTTTGCTATCTGTTTTTATGTTTATGGCTGTTTGATTTTTGTGATATGTATTCATATTTACGGATAGATGTCATCCATAATCAAGCAAAATGTCTCTTGTTACCAAATATACCATATTTGGAGTTATACTCATCACACAGGTGCTCATTTCTTTGTGATTTTCTTGTCCTATACAATTATCAGGAAATAGTCAGCTTGAACTTTTAATAAAACATCGTTGTTTTAAACTATTTATTATAGTTATATGGAGCAGTAGATTGCTGAGATACCTTTTAAAATGACAAAAGGACGCTTGCATATTTAACTGTGTATGTCCATAAAGCTAGAAATAAATCCAACAAAATTCTGATATGAGGGCCTTATTTATTGTAGATATTTATGACAGTCTATTTTAGGATGACTATTAGTATTTGATTCCTCTATGGTTCACGGTATTATAGGAAAATTTCCATTTGATAAAATACACTTTTTACTGATTCACTGTATTTATTATATTTTGTTGTATCTCGATTTTACTAATTTTCACTAATTTAGATTCTGGCTTTATAAATTAAAATATTTCTTTTTTCTTTAATAAATGTATTTAAACTTTGAATTAAATGTGTTTCAAAGGGAAAATCAATTAAAGTCTCACTCCACGAAGTTTGGCTTATCACAAAGGCTTGGACTCATAATAGTTCAGTATACATGCTCTTCAGAATATTAAATAGTTTTATTTTTAAGCCCAATTTTGAATTCTAAACATGATTTAATAATACAGTGATTTTGACATACGAAGCGAAATGAAGATGATGATTTTAATATATCTAAAATATTTTCCTTTGAATAGTTTTGCTGCAGAAAGGTAGCAAAATCATTTAAAACTTTTTTTTATGGGAAGCTAATTTTCATTCCTGATATTCTTCGTTGAGACATTCTCGGATCTCTTCTAAAATTTAACGAAAAATGAAACATTTTCAAATGTGGAATAACAAGTTCGATAATTGATTTCAAACTTAAACCATTAAATGCTTATCTTACTGGATAGAATATCAATTTTATTTGCCGTTTTTATGCCAAAAGATTCTCAGCTGTTGACAATATAAGGTAAAAAAGGACTTTTCCAAGTTGAGTTTTAATTCATCTTTCTGTCGGGAATGTAATTTATCATTTGTACTTGTGTGGGACTGGACTCACTTGCATTCCCGTTGGTTTAAATTTACCGTCCACAAATTTCCCTATCACACAGGATACCATCGATTGCTGTAAAAGGTCTTTTTAAATATTTTTAGTTGGAACTCCAAGAAAAACAAATGAAATTGTTGATTAGTTTATGCACAATCTGAGCTATTATGCGTCCAGAAGCAGAAGTGATCTGCAGTGTAAAATATGCTTGGAAAGAATTTCGATTATTTTATGTAAGAGACTTTCGGCGTTTGCGAACAGATTATTGGGAATTGTTTAAATGAATTGTTAAATCTTTGATTTAAGATTTCAAATCTTTCAGTCTTGGCTACATAACCTGGCGTTATCTTATATTAATTCCAAAAAATACATACACTTTTCTTTGCTCGTCTGCTACTTGTCTAAAAATCATTAGATGAAAGCTGATGTAAGACCAAGTTACAGTTCATTGTTTTCTCATTGGTCATAAATTCCAAAATTCTGTTTTGAAAATTATTTGTGTAATTAGAACTTTCTCACATTTGATACATCTTTCGGTGAGCTGATTAACTTGTTGTGAATGATGTGACCACTTGTGGATGAAACCGTTTCCAACTGAACAAATTTTAATTTGTTACGAAAGGGAATAGTGCTAGCAGTATCGAATGTCCTTTGGGGACACTGTGGAACACTAGAATAGTAATACCTTTTAGTAATAGACTTAGAAAGTTCCCAGGAAGTTAAAAATGCTAAAATTCTTTTTACAATAAGTTCAACTCGTTTCAACTCATTGCGGAATGATGACTTCCTGTTATACATACAGGTAGAATTCGGCTTGAAGAAAATTGTGCAGTACTGCTTTGGCTTTTTGATACGCGAATCTTTTTCCCAGTTTTTATGCTAACCGGTGGTGACCGGCTTCCTGGATTCCGAATTTGTACATAAGTTGCCGATGGCTAGAATTCAAGAGTTGGCTAAGTAGAAGGAACTTGGCTCTGAGCTATCTGAATCAATTTATAGCCGTGGACGCTGGTACATATTTTAAAATTGTAACGGATATGCAGTGTTCTAAAATAGACTCCCTGAAAGATTTTTAGAATTTTTTGCGTCCAGGAGTTTCGTCTCCTAGCTGCTTTATTTTAATGAGTAGCTGAAATCTAAAGTTTCAGTAGTTGCCTTGAAATCTTCTCAACTTTAAAAAATGAAAATTCTGCTGATTCCATACTTTCACCAGTGGTTTTCGTGAATGTCGTTTATGTGAGCTCTTGTTCGACACGTCACGTGTTGTACCCGTACGCCTGTATTTTCAAATTTTCAAATGCAGTCTTACGTTATCCAAGATTTTCAAATATTGCTATTAATATGAGCTGTTTTATTCCTTTGCTAGGCTGATTAATTTGGTGCCCTTTTCTGTTTTTCCATTTTCACAGACGTTTTATTCATTATCTGCTTATTAAACAAATATCAGCCTTGTGGAACAGGTAATCTAAGATAATGTTTTGAATTGCTACTCCTAAGTTTTATTTCGTACCAGTTGCGTTCATTTGGAAGTGCGGACGACGTCTCAGGTTTTTCTTTGAATGAGTATTTGACGACGATCTCAACCTCAGCATTTGACTCGGTTGCAAGAATTTTTGCTCCACTCCGGAACTTTTCAAAAATTTTTTGCATTTAGCTTCGGCTGCAACGTGCTCTTTCGATTGTAACAATGAGATTAAATCAAATACATTTGCTTTTTATCTTTTTCTCCAGCATCAACAATTTGCATATTTTTG